TGTGTGTGTGTGTGTGTGTGTGTGTGTGTGTGTGTGTGTGTGTGTGTTTGTGTATATATGTGCGGGTGCGTGCGTGTGTGTGTGTGGTAGCGTGCGAGCGTATATGTGTATGTGAAGTGCGTGCGTCCGCATTACCATATACCGTGGGCATTTGTGTAAGAGAATATAGTCACATTTTAATGTGATGTATCAGTTTGAACAAATAATCACAAACCCACATTAACAGGAAGGTAATAAGTAAAAATACGGCAAAAGGGACAATGCTTCAGGCTTACTATACATACTGGAATACGCATTTAGGTACCTTGATTAAAAATATTCCATTACTACTATAGGGTTCATAGTTCATTTGCAAAATGTCTTAAAATTAAAAAAAGATACTTACTTCTAGCGTATTCCGGAAATTCCATGTTCGTTATGCCAAAGAACAAACCCGATCTGTCAGCTGCAATTAACAGAGTTTCCTGATTTTCCTTCAGTAATATTTTCGGAGCTTTCCAATCGACATTGATATTTAATTTATTTCTAAATTTTCTTTGGTATTCTCGCACTGTCTGTTGAAAAATAATGGTGATCTCATTAATGTATAGGTAACAGTGCATAATTTTAATACCAACATTTAAATACCTACCTTTACCGATGGAATTGAAAATACATGAGGATAAACATGTGGCAGGAATGTAACGAACCAGGTATAAAAAGGCAACCATTCGATATCCACTATGGCTTTAGGGTGAAACTTGAGGTCACCACCAATTTCCTCGCAAGTCGTCCAATTTAAAAATTTCCTTTTCGTCTTAACGTTATTATTGACCCTGAAGGAACTTTGAGAGAAATATTTTGCATTTGAAGGTGCAGGAATAAGATCACCAATGATTTTGGTTTTCGATGCAGTCTGAGCTATCTTTGGAACTCCAGAATTCGCATTTTCGTCATTTTTATCAAGCATTTCCTCAAAGTCAAACCACATTCTCGAGCGAGCTTCAGATTCATTCTTTGAGGGTATTTTCGTTTTTTGGTCACGTTTTCTTTTCTGTTCGTAAAGATCTCGTACGCTTGCTACGGCATCCTGAGAGTTAATTTGCTGCTGTAACATTTAGAAAAAATAATACTTGAGTATCTCTTATCTTTTCATTAACGACTTGATAGTTTTTTCGTCTAGTAAATTTTGTATTTTATACTGACTGTGCTAATAAATAAATACGTTATGGAAAACATACAAGCATTTAAATCCAACTGCAGACAAAAGGCACACGATTGTAATTGTTTACAATACACTCATACATGTATTCGTCACGCCTGTCTCTCAGCGGGCTAAGCTGAAAGTATGGACCTCCACCTGTTACGCTCCTGACAAACCTCCTTCGCCTCCTCCACTCCCATCAATCTCTTCATACGCGCCCGTTTATTCTTGGTACTTTAACACGGCCATTTTTAAGCACATTCCTAATCTAATTTTAAAATTTAACTGCCTCTGTGGCCGAACGGTTACCATGCCGGACTGCCACGTAGAGGTCCCAGGTGCGATTCATTTATTTCTCTCGTGAGTTTTGATGTAATTTGTGGTTTTCTATATGTGTGTGTCCATGGCACCCGCGACACAGGGTTACCCTAGTGCAGGGCTATGTTGAGTGTGTGCGTTATTATTATTAATTGAGATATGTTGGCTGAAGTCTACCGCTCTCACGCCTCCATCCACATTCGCTCTATAAATAATAATATGTGCCGTCAATATACCAACATTCATTGTTTCTACATGACCAAACCATCGAATCATCCCGTTCATCCTGGTCTGGCGGTAAGCGACACGCCTGTCCATAACAGTTGCAGTGCCACTCAGAGTTTTAAATCACAAAAAACTGAGTATCAATGCCATTGCGCCCGACACCCTGAGACGTAAGTTGACAAGTCCCATGTGCCTTTAATTTCATCAGCACCCTTACCCTTCAAAACCAAAACGCAATAATGCTAACATTACTGGTTGGCGGCAGATATAGGTAAGGTGGAAGTACTTACCTGGACGAATTCTTTTTCAAGGAGCTCTAACTGCTTACTTCGTTTAACATACCGTCTCCAAAGCAGAGGTCGTGGGTTCTAATCAGGGCTCGCATCTCTGAGTTTCTTGGAATTTATGTGTGAAAATAAATTTTAAATTTACCATAAGCTTTTCGGTGAAGGAAAACATCGTGCACGAAGAAGGTTCACTACCCTCGAAAAACGTGTGAAGTCCCCAACGCGCATTGGGCCGGCGTGGCGTACTACGACGTAAACCCCGCCTGAGAGGAGACCCGTGCCCAGCAGTGAGACGTATAAATTGGTTGCTAATGGGTAATATTTCAAAGAACATTCCAATTTACGCTATATACGTTTTTATAAAATATTTTATTTTATTATCTGACTTAGGTCCAAAAAAAAATTCATTTCCTAAATGTATATTAGCAAACTCACGTCTAATGGAGGCTCTTCCCGAGGATCCAAATCTTTTTGCGACAGTGCATTAGGGACGAACGCATTAGTTATCGAACCATCTCTATTAACATTTCCGAACATTACTGGTTTGCCAAAGTCTTCTGTCACGTCACCATCTTGTCGTTTGAACTGTTCTGCTTCGGTAAGTGTGACAAGGAAGAGAACTGAGTATGTTATGAGCATTTTTCCGCAGTATATTTTGTGTTTGAGGTTTATATCTATTGTTTCGTCGGAAGACAGATGTTGTACACTTAAGGTTGCATTCGATTTTTACTTTTCAAAATTGCGAAAAACTTTAACCACATTTTTGTTGTTTCTTTTCTGCATTTTCTTTTATTATAAAATGTGACAGGAAGAAGAAATCGTGCACCTGGTATGACTACGACACGCGACACGCCTGTCCATAACCGTTGTAGTGCCATTCGGAGCTTTAAATCATAATTATCTGAGGGGCACTGCCACTGCGCCAGAGACCCTGAGACATAAGTTGACAAGTAACATGTGCCTGTAATTTCACCAGCACCCTTACCCTTCGAAACCGGAGCGCAGTAATGCTCATATTACTGCTTAACGGCAGAAATAGGTAAGACGGCAGTACTTCCTTGGACGAACTCTTTCACAAGGAACTCTACTGCTACAAAACTGCTGCATGTAGTATATGAACAATAATAATTTAACATTGAGGGAAAATATTTGCGAAGGTACTAACAGCTGAAATTATTTCTTCGTATCTGTAATTGCGTACATTTGTTTTTTCCAAACAAACCAACGTTTCGCGGTCTTTTCAGGTCCCATGGTCACGACAGACTGACGCGAAAACCTGAGAACTTGCTTTGCAAAAAGTACTTATATAAAATGTAAAACATGAAGGCCTTAAAACCCTTCCCTGATGTACTTCTGTTTAAAACTAGGACATTTCAGTGATAATATAAAATTTATCTTCATAATTTTGTTACAAAATTTATATTAAAAAAGATCTAGCAACATGTTTACTTGATAAATTGCTACACATTATGCTATTATACTAATTGTAAAATTAATTATATTGCATTATTATTCAATTATACAAAACTAAGTTTAATTTGTCTCGTATAAAATCAGAAGTATGGGAGTTTTTTTTTTAAATAGCTTATAAAAAAAAAAAAGAAAAGTACATAATGCATACAAAATGATTTATTACTCCTGACCGAGAACGATAACACTTCTACATTTACACATAAACATACTTGACAGTCACTATTGTATAACAATAACTAACGTTCTGCTACTATCTGTTTCAATTAGAATTATATAAGAAAAAGAAGCAAAAAAATATCTACGATGCCGATACAAGTACTAAGAACTTTAAAACATTGTATTTGTTTTTTAAAGTTTATTGAATGTATAACTACCATGATAATCAATTATCTTTGTGATATTAGTCCACTATACTGTCCTCAGAACGAAAAAGGTCACAGCTGTCGTACAAAGTACGCATAGTTGTGCCTTTTTAGTTACGAGGGCAGTATAATAATAATAATAAAGCTTTATTTCATTTCCAACGAACACATTTTGTGACACATACTATTTATATTATAAAAATTGTGACACGTAATAAACATAACTTGATTGAATTCAAATTATAATCATATTGTAATAAAAGTTTTATTATACGAATGTGTGAAACTTCATAGGATTTTTTCTTAATGTTGGATCGTTGTATAAATAATTTGAAAGTGTATCCTTCAGGATACACTTTCAAATTATTGCGGGTGTATCTTGAAAAATACAAATATCTTCACTTAATAAAATTAAATGCAACCTTAGACGTTAGTCCTATTTGTAAACCCGAAAGACTTCTTGCTCGAGAAGCGTCCTTAGACTAACTCTTTAGAATTTCTTGTCTTTAGGAGCGATTTAAGTCTCGACAGAGACCCAATCAAATTCAGAAAATAATATAATTAGTTTCAGAACCACTGGGACAATTTTGTCCCAGATTTCGGATTCTAATATCATTATTGTTTTAAACGAAGGTGCAGCAGCTTTCCACTTTGTGTTGTTAAGAAAATGTATCACTTCCTGTGACTCCGTCATAAAACGCCACAAAAGCTGAATATCGCTACAGAAGTCGTATAATAGAAGGGTCAACACCCAAGCTAACTGGCTGGTCATCATCACCGTCGTCCAACTCGCGGTACTCGTGCATCGGAGGAGGGGTATATCCTCCGGGGTGGATTTGCCCGATCGATCGGCCCCACTCGCTGCGGAAACCAATCTTGCTTGCTTCTACTTCCATCTGGAAGTAAAACATTGATGAGATAATAGAATAACCACCAAGATATAAAGATGAGATAGTGACATGATATTGATTTATATCTATGGTGGCAGAAATCTTTAACTTGAAAGGAAATTGCTCAGTAGTGAGCTCTAGTTACAACACGTATTTTTTTTTAACTGGTTTGATTGTGGAACCTCGAATGTAACTAATATAAAAAATAATTAAAAAGGGATCTCTCTACCTTTTTCAGGCTAGGCATATCATCATTCGGTGCTAGAGCGTATGCCATTCTTTGACGACAGTTCATGATACCAAGGTAACCTTCAGGTTTTATGTATTTAATCGCGAAGTGCAATAATGGAACTTTCTCTACTGAAATAAAAATTAAGTAGGATTATAGTTTGATCAGCTCGTCCAACTAAGTATTATGCCTAATAAACAGGCACGATGATGGTGATAATGATGACTTTTTTTTACAAATTTCATAAACAGATAAGAAGACTTGTAGAAATGATTAAGGCCATTACTTTATAAGCAATTTTATGATCCTTTTACAGCTATCTCGCAAGTGTTGTTACTTACACTGAAAAGCAAAAGAAGGCAACAGCCTATAAAGGCCAGACTTTTGAGTCTTTATATACAGTGCGCTGAAATCGATGGCTGTCTCCATGAATACCTCGGCTCCGTCCCAGATGATTGGAGGTTCAACGTCCTTGCCCACCTCTATTTTGAATCGCTCCACTAGCTACAAAAACTTAAGACTGATTATGAAATCAACAGTTTGTAATATTCCAATGAACATTGAATTAACATAACCTAGCAACGAAGCAAAATACTAAATATATGATGATGCAAAATGTATCCCTTAAAGCTTTCTTCTTTTTGCGCGGATTAAGTAAAATATTAATGACAAAAGACCAAAACCTGCTAAAAATAATATGAACGCATAGAGAAAAATGGGCGCGGCCGGTGCGCTGTAATGAGTTGTCACTTTGTAATTGGTTAATTATTATTATGAAATAGGTGGGACCGCTGCGTGGCTGTCGGCTATGCGAGGCAATCAGTAAAATCAATCCGTGATAACACTTTTCACAATTTTGACAACCTTCGTGGTCGAGTGGGTTGCACTCTGGTTTTCATGGTCACGCTACCTCTCAGGTTCCGGATTCGATCCTCGGCCAAGTGAATGTAGAAACTAATTTTTCTATATTGTCTGGGTGTTTGTTGTACCGTCGTTGTTTCCGATTTCCATAACACAAGTTCTTAGTTACTTACTTTGGGATCAGAGCAACGAATATGATGTTCTCTTATATTTAATTATTTATGACAAAGAAAAACGTTTACCATAGGCGATGGAACAGAGAACCTCACAATGTAGGAATCATCTAAATCATGGTTCCAATAGTAAAATATCTTCCAATCTATATCGACAATGTCAGAAATATTTAAACTTGTATTGTTCAAAAATTCGTCGCATGTTGACCAATTCAGGAAGTACATTTTTGCTGTGTCTAAGTCCGAATTTGACTTCTCTAGCTTATTCACAGTTGCAGAAAATACTGTCTGAAATAATGTCAGTAGAATATACATCATCATTTTAGTTCGTTTTGTTTGTTTTTTTTTTAAGTTATTGCTGATGTTTAACTTTTTTTTTTTCTCCCTTGTAGATAATTTACGTGCTTATTATTATCGTAGATTCTTTAGTTCTTATTTCAATGCCTGTCACCTAAAGAACTTTACAAACTTGGTTGTAATGATCTTTATTCTACGTTAGCCGTTTCTCTTATATAGTTTAGTTTGTTTCAATCACTCTGTTTCACTAATTGTCTACGATTCTACTTAATTAAATCTTAAACTCTTCGCTTGCTTACACTTTATTCATTGTATGAACATTCACAAGAATAAGCAATCTGAAACTGCTCTCCTCAGTTATTGTCTGTTTTATATATGAGTTTATAGCCCAGTCATGTAAACAATAATATGATTTAAAAATATTTACATAATATGTTTTATTTATACAAAGATTTCCCGTGTCTTCGTTCATGGTGCTAAGTTCATTTGTAGAAATGTGAAAAATGATTGTACATGGTGAGTTATTAACTACACACAAACTACACACTATATGGCCACAACTACAAAATGACAATTTTTCAATACAGAGGTTTGAAAGGCTCTAAGAACGAAATTAGTCGTAAACTTTTTAATGTGTAATAAATAATGGGAATGAGGAAATAAAACTATTTTTTCTAATTTAAATCGCTTATATTTGTTATTTTCAAACAAACCAACAACGTTTTGGGCCTCTTGCAGGTCCCATGGTCACGGCTGAGTGGTTTGTTTGAACCGAAAATATACAAGTTTTATATCCAACGTGCAACAATCGCGAAAATCTAAGGACTAGATAAATAATAGGAGAGTTATAAAATTTCAGATATACAAGATTATACCCTGGTATTACAAAGACACATATAATCATACATCAAAAGTGCTTTTATCACATATAAAACCATAAAAATAATACTAACTACATAAAACAATTATTTCATAATATAATATAATATTTTTTTATATATATAATATCAAGTGACGCGACGATCAAATCGTGCGCCTGATGGTAAGTTACACGTCTGTCCACAACAGTTACAGTGCCACACAGAGCTTTAAATCGCAAAGATCAAAGGGGCACCACTACGCCCGTCACCCTGAGACATAACTTGACAAGTCCCATGTGCCTGTAATTTCACCAGCACCCTTAACGCAATAATGCTGACATTACTGTTTGGCGGCAGAAATAAAAAGGTACTGCAGTACTGCTACTTAATTATCCTATTTGAGTATAAAAAGATATGGTCAAGTTCGTACGTAGAATGCTTAAACTTCTAGGTGCGATTGTGTTCCTACAGCATTCTGAGAGTCACACTCATTCCTCGGAAGATGTTAAATGACAATGTGGCTGTAAACATCTCTTTTTTACTAGCAGTAAAGCTGCTTGTGAAAGAGTTCGTCCAGGGAAGTACTACTGTCACCTTATCTATTTCTGCCACCAAGCAGTAATGTGAACATTATTGCGTTCCGGTTTGGGAGAAAAAATACTCTACCTCTCTAATGACCGAATAAAATATGTTTACATGATCTAAGAGTGATTACACACGGCGACTTTTAGCGGTATGTTGAATAATTATTATAAAATCTGTATGAGTTTACGCCCATTATTTTGTTTTGTTAATTTAATGGTGCAATTAATAAATACATGAAATAAATAAATAAGTAAATTAATTTAAAAGGTGCATCACTTTTGCATCGCGTTTGTATCGCGTTTGCATCACGTTTGCATCGCGTTCGCATCGCGTTTGCATCGCTGCTAAAAGTCGCAGTGTGTAACGTTCTTAATTATGGATATACGCTTACGGCCATATTTAGGGAAACGGTAAAAAAAAATTGAATTATAATAATAGTATTTGTTTTTACGTTCTATTTGTATTATGGTTACCAAATAAATTATTTATCTTTCTTCCTTTCTTTCTATTATTATATGAACCATTGGCCACTATATACCAAAACGTTTAATTTGAAAAAATAATTAATTCAATCGTCTTTTGAATTCGATTTAACGTTCCAGATATATGTGGCCAGTAATTCGTATGTATGTTGTTATCATAATTCAACCTTTTTTGCGTTCCTCTAAATATGTAGAATAATGATGATAATAATAAGCTGTTTATTATCTACAAGCTTTACAATTTTTCTTCTTATTAATAGCCTAACGATTGTGAACTGGCAACCGGTACTATCTCAATTTTCTAAAGATTTCACTTTTTAATATCATTTTATACTATTTCATACTCCGCAGCGTTGCAAGAAGAATTTCTTCATGTCTAAGATGGAATCATCTTAGACACATTTAATTTTGGCGCCAGAATCGACTTCATTCAACTTGTACTAACTTCTAACCAGATGCTATACAAATGACGTGACGCAAACTTCTTCATCCTGTAAAATTGTCAAAATTGAGATTGAAAAATGATATTAATAAACACCACGGTTACGCATCGCGCAGATTCGTGTACTATTTTGTTTATTGTATAATGAAGAAGTCAATATGTACAATCGATCTCAAAGCAACCTTAACGCAGTGGAAGTGGAATCATCATTTAGTATCGGTGTCGCAGCGAAATAGTTTAATTAGCCACATACATTCAATTTCAAAGTTGATTCTATTATAAAATGAACAACGAAAATTAACATACAACATGAACTCAGCTCGAGTTTCGAAATAGGCTTCCGTCATTGCCAAATTGCAGTCGTACTTTCGAGAGACCAAGATCACGGCGCTTCTTATGACGGCCACAGAAGAAAAGACATGACGAATAGACTAAAAAATGGCTTTATGCCAAAACCGGTAAAACTTTACAAAAAATTTAACTGTCATTCGCGTAACGGAAACAATTTAAAGAACGACCGTCAGTTGTCATAATATAGTTTATTTGAAGCTTTACAAAAATGGTTCCTCATATTATACTTAAAAAACTACTTACAACATTGCTTTTAAAATCTTATATATGCACCACCGTTCCTGGGTCGAAAATCAGCCAGTCTATCATTATATATACATGTAAAAAAAGGCAATATGCTCAGACGTCACTCGTATTTTCATTACTTTCCTTATTACATTACGACCTTTTCGGTTACTTTAATTGTTACTTAATTTCTTCATCTTATGAAATAAAAAATAAAAAAACACCACTTAGCATTTGTGAACTAGAAGGCGTCAACGCCTTGTAGCTTTGCAAAAGCTTTGTAGTACAGCAGTAATACAAAAAGAAATAAAGAAAAGAAAATTATAATCAACATTTAATAAAACATATCCCTTTTTTTATTCTCTACTGGCAAGCAAGCAATCCGTCCAGATCCAAGTTCTAATTTACTGACAACAGCAGCAATTTGCTCTCGTGTTGGTTCATCACCTAACCTCGCTGAGAGTGAAATTACTCCGATCTGACAGTCCATCATAACAAGATATCTGCCTTTGTTGACCAGTTTCAAATAGAACTTAAGAAGGGGAACCGCATTCCTTTGTGGTGTTATGTCTGGAACAAACGATTAAAATTTAAGATAGATCAGGGGAATTCACTTGATAATCAGTTCTTGCTTCACTTGTGCATCAATCTCGAAATGCCAAGCAATCCCCATTTTAGAAAATAATGTTTGTGCCTGACAATCACAGCAATTACCTGGTCTCAAACTAGGGAATACTCTATTATTATTTTTTTATTATTAATTCAAGTAACACCAATTATATGAGTCAAATATAATTGTTAGTAAACCACTTATTACTAATATTAGTAGAGTACAAGTAGTAGCAGTAGAATTTCTTGTGAAAGAGTTCGTCCAGGGAAGTACTGCCACCTTTCTGTTTCTACCGCCAAACAGTAATGTCAGCATTACTGCGTTCCGGTTTTAGAAGGGTACGGGTGCTGGTGAAATTACATGCACATAGGACTTGTCAACTTACGTTTCAGGGTGACAGGCGCAGTGGCAGTGCCCCTCAGATCTTTGCGACTTAAAGCTCTGAGTGGCACCGCAACTGTTATAGACAGGCGTGTAGCTTACCATCAGGCGCACGACTTGTTCATCCCGTCACTTGATATTATAAAAAAAAACAAAATTATACACAATAGACACTGCTAGAAACACGCAATTCGCAACAGTGTCCCATGTAATGGGGTTCAGCCTGGCCCACACTCAACGCACCAGAGATGTGCTTCGCTTGCACGTGGTCGCATAAAAGCTATCCAATCTGAATCACATCCCTGACGCACTACAGAAGCGGGGCTGCCCCATCAGCACCCGAAACGCATTATTATACTGAGTCCGGAAGGGCCATAGGTTCGTTGCCTAATTAGTTAATACCTAGTTAATAGTTAATACCTCCACAAACTATACTTTGTGTAAATTCATCATCAACCATAGAACATATGTTTTTATAGGTCTTAGTAGTCTTATCAGACGACACCTTGAATGGATTGTGACTGGTGAAATTACAGCACATGGGACTTGTCAACTTATGTCTCAGGGTGACGGCACATTGGGAGTGTCCCTTAGATCATTGCGATTTAAAGTGTCACTGCAGTAAAAAAAAAGAGCTTTGTGAGACAGTACTCTGGCACGGTATGCTAGAAGACGTCGGTTCGAATCCGGCCGGATCGAAGGAATTTTTTCGAAGTGTAATTATAACAAACTAGTGGAGTAATTTCACATAAAAAAAATTGAATATCAATTCAATAAAAATTTATATTATGTACAATGAATAGCGGCATCTCTAGCCAGGGCCGGTAGCTGTAAAGTTACCTAGCTGGGTGACGAAATACTTAAGAATTCTCAAAGATGGCGCTACGGTAAAAAGTCGTTGAAAAACCAAATACAAAAACACGACTACAAACGCAGAAAAATTCGTGAGTTCCGATGGTTCGTTCCGTGGCTGGTTACTTTGTAAGACTTTGCCGTGTAACGTTCAAAATATATTTTTTTAATTTGTTTTATGATATAAAGTGAAAGGACACGAAAGGAGTAACCTCCTCGCACAACGTACTTTTCTTTTCCTGTATGTCTGGCGAACCATGGCGCAACAATAGGCGAGTACCTTACGCCAATTGGCAAATGCTTTACCACGATGGCAAGCATTATAGCATATGCCGTCGATACGATAAAAAAAAGACGGGGCGAACAAGGCGCGCGCATGATAACAATTCCGATGCCACTTGTAAATCACAAGTTCTGACTGACACTGCCACAGTGCCCGTCACCCCGAAACATAAAGTTAACAAGTCCTATGTGCCTGTAGTTTCACTAGCACCCTTACCCTTCAAAAGCCGGAACGCAGTAATGCTCACATTACTGCTTGATGGCAGAAAGGGATATGATGGCAGTACTTCCCTGGACGAACTCTTTCACGAAGAGCTCTACTGCCAGCACAAATGTCAAATGGTACGCTTTACAAAAAGCCATTCTCGGTGTCAATTTGTCTAGTGCGTACGGTCTAAACCACGTGATGATACGTCAAAAATGCTTTTATCACTTGAAAGTCATAAAAATAAACTACAAGAAACCAATATGTTTATGAAATTTTATAACTCTCCTAATATATATGAAACATAAAATGTTGTCGATTATTTCGTTCGCAGAACCCTTTAAATCTCTCTCCTAAAAAGTTGTAATTTTGTAGTGCAGCATTATTACCCCAAAGGTGCGAAATGTAGTCTAACAATGATTATCTCGCAGCGAGAGAAATCGTCAAGAATTAGTGTATGGGATACACCACTGTAAAATATAGCTGCTTTTCAAAAGTAGTGTCCGAAACCAAAACAGTTCATTTTTGTCGTATAACACAAATACACTCAGAACGAGCAAATTTTTTTGCTAAAGAACACCGAGCTTTTTATTGTTTAAAATAATCAAGTGAGAAATGAGCTTGCATACAATTGGTCTGCTTTGCATTTTAAATATTCTGCAGCTGTTTCTAAGCAACGTTATATTTTTAGCAGTACGGCTCCTCTTGAAAGAGTTCGTCCAGGGAAGTACTGCCACCATACGTATTTCTACCACCAAGCAGTAATATGAGCATTACTGCGTTCCGTTTCGAAGAGTAAGGATGCTGGTGAAATTACAGACACATGACATTTATGTCAACTTATGTCTAAGGGTGACGGGCACAGTGGCAGTGCCCCTAACATCTTTGCGATTTAAAGCTCTAAGTGGCACAGCAACTGTTATGAATAGGCGTGTCGCTTACCACCAGGCGCACGACTTGTTCGTCCCGTCACATTGTATTAAAAAAAGAATCTTCCTGATGATTTAGGTGATTTTGAGATAGAACACTGTGCCAGAAAGCAATCGATATGTATTTCTTGGAAAATATACGTACTTCCATCTTTTATAACATTAGCTACAGCATAGAAACGCCCGGCCGGACCTTGGTCATCAAACAGCAGCATCTCGTGTCGGGATCGGCCCATGGTCATCAGGAGGATAGCCGCTCCCCACACTGGCTGCTCCTCTAAGTAATCCTTCATGTCGTGGTAGATACGACGTATTACCTAAAAAAAGTTAGTACTAAAATACCCTTTATTCATTAATTTATTCAAAATCGTTAAATCGCACCCCTCATGAAAGAATGGCGTATGAGTTACGTCAAAACTCTATCGACTAATATTGTAGATAGAGTTACAAGAATTGGAGATGTGGGTTATATTTTTCTGCATCTAATGGAGCAATAAACATTTTTGACGTAACTCCACTTATGCCATTCTTCCATGTGGGTTGCGAAATGTGAAACATGAAATTGCCGTTATAGCGCTATATAAAAAACTACTAAGAAAAATCGTTAGAAGTATGTTCATCACATGATAGTCACAATAAAAATTATAATAATGCGAACTGCATGAAACAAGTCTGCCCTTCTTACCATAACTAACTTAATCGTCATTTTTAGCAAATTGAATTATTATCGTATCTGGGATCTGCGGAACAAGATCTACAACCCCCTTTAATCGATTTTGTGATATCTTATTTAATTTGTTAATTGTTAAGCAAAATCATTGCGTAATTGACATTTTTAGGTGACAATATAAATTTAAGAGCTAATATCGCGAAAGTTACCGAAATGCAATTGCATTAGTTATAACAACGAGGGCAGAAGTCATCAGTATACACATTTGAAATTTTACAACTCTCCTACTTAAGCCTAAAAAGTTATCGATAATTTCGTTCGTAAAATCTTTCAACCTCTTTCCTGAAAAAGTATCATTTTGCAAAGTATCATGTGGCCTTGTTACACAAAGGTTGTCAATTAAGCACTGACTAAAATCCATCTTACTTATCTCTAATACTCTCTTCCAATTGATCATCAGTCTCTGATGGAATTGAGGAGTAGTCGCGGGGAATGAGCAGGTGTTGATATGGATCCGTGCGTTGTGACGCAGTTGGTACGAAATTCGCACCAAGCCATTTGTTACAATAATCGTTTGGTACATTGAATTAAAGGATATTTTCTACAAAATTCGCACTACTATTAATTTTATTCTTTAAAATATTTTAAAACAAAACTCAGTAAAATCACATATTCGCGAAATTCCAATGGAGTGCACGGAAGGAATCATCACGCACGACGTCACCATGCCTTTCCTCTATGTTTGGCGCATCCAGTTTTGTACTTTTTGTTAACCGCGCTAATGTGATGGACTATGGCTTTAATACTGTCCTCTGGAGACTGCCGATAGTTTCGCTACCAAAGCGAGAACTTCGTAGTTGAATTAAGATTCAACGGCTTAACAGTGACAACTACTAGCTGCCATAGTTCTGTACGTGCACTCGGTGTCGCTCACCCAAGGAACTAGCCTTTTGAACACCGGATGAAGTTTGTGTAAACGGGCTGACCTGAGCCAGAACCTGACTGAATATGGTTCCTGTGCGACCTTGCACTTTATAGTGCCCTTCCGGTGTAACCAAGAAGTTGATAGGGAGGGGACTGTAAGCAAAACTTATGTAGAGAGATATGAGCCCGTTCTCTGGAGATTGTCCAGGTATGCTTAGGGAATGACAAAAGTAATGATGATAAAAGATGATCTGAAATTTAATCTCGAATGTACTGCTCCACTTTAACATATCGATGATAGAGCAAGCTTTCTCAGGAGTGAGTTAAGTACTCACTGCTTAGAAAATTAAAGGACATATAGGTGCAGCTTTAAGGCTAAAGTATTCAATTCATTTCATAAAAGTTTATATTTAATTTGCTTTAGTAGAATTCAGAACAATGCTAACCATTGGAGCTGCCATCTTGAATTTCATGTCTACACACCGCGGCCCCAAATCCATGTTCCACGTATAGTAGGTCCTCCACGGGATCCCCACCACCATATCTAATTCAAAAAACGGACTTCTGCCGAACTCAACACACTTTTCCTCATGCCTTTTCGTCGGATCACGTTTAACTTCTAAATAGTCATGACTAGATGCAACTACAACTGAATATAATATAATTATTACACTTTTTCGACCATGCTCCAGGAGATCCATGATGGACTAATCTATAATGTGGTTCCAAATGGCTTATAAAGGCAATGTTTAAGAAAGTTCAATTCAATTATTCTTTCAATACCAAATGTTTTGACAGACTTTCGCCGCAACTATAATAATATTAACATGAGTAATCGTGAAAGACTTTCTTCTCATAACATTGTCTTCGCAGCTTAGAATTCTATTGTGCGTTGATTACTACTGAATATAGGTATACATATAGGTACACACGGACGAACACTCGATAAAAAGTCTCTGGCCGCTATGAGTTTTTGAGAATTGCACGATTTAATCCCGCCATCCCCTTTCCATTACCGGTGGACTAGACGTAGGCTTGGGTTGCATCCCTTTGTTGTGGATATTTCAAGGATTCACACGAAGCGTTACGCTTCCACATTTATATGGCGAACGGCTATGGAGCGGAATTCCCTGCCTTCAGACTTATTCCCAGAAGGCGAGAGCGAATAGGCATTGTTAAGATTTGCATGCTCCATCGTCGACCTCATCGTCACTTTGACCTTCAAATGCGCACTTATATTTTATAACAAAAAAAGAGTTCTTTTTAATTATAATAATAATTAGATTTCATTTGTGAAGGTAACATCATCGGGTCTATATACTCGATGGATAACATGGACCCTAGTGTTATAATAAGAGTTACACTCAAATACTAATGTTAGCAGATGTACATGACCAACAGAGAGAATAAAAATACTATACCTGTGGATTATAGAACAGTGATTCACGTGACTCAGTCGAGCCTTCGCTATGCTAGCTGAATGTACGCCGAGGATGTGCATCGTGTCGCATCGTGGTGTAGAAGCAATCGTGTAGAAAAATGAATGTAGAAATGAAATTAATGCAGTATTGTATGTATACAAACTACAAAAACAAACGATACGTCTTAATAACGTTTTAAAAAGGCGAGCTTATCCAATTTATATACGTAATTTAACTGCATTGTACTTTATTAAATTTTAAAAATGACTATACTGAATGAATATCAGAATGTGACAATAAGACATTATTATTTGCAAATTTGACTAGCAGTAGGGCTCCTCGTGAAAGAGTTCGTCCAGGGAAGTACTGCCACCTTACCTATTTCTGCCACCACGCAGTAATGTGAACATTACTGCGTTCCGGTTTCGATGGGTACGGGTGCTAGTAAAATTATAGGCGCATGGGACTTGTTGACTTATGTCTTAGGGTGTCGGGCGCAGTGGCAGTGCTCCACAGATCTTTGTAATTAAAACTGTGAGTGGCTCTGCAACTTTTAGGCACAGGCGTGTCACTTACCACCAGCCACACGACTTGTACTTCCCGTCATTTAGTATTATATATAAAAATAATAATAATTACATGACGCTCTCGGTTCCATTGGGTTGGCACTCTGTGCGCTGGGTGACGTTCGATTTCCGGTACGATCAATCTAGGAAAAGAACTTTTCTAAATTGGTTCGTAAATGTGCTCAGAATAGTGGTTGTCTTACAAATTATTATTACTAAGCAACAATTTCTTTAGGACAATCTAAGTATAGAACAGTAAGCCAAATGGGTAAAAATACCAGTAAAATAACATGCTATTTTCTGTATAAGGCCAAGAACTCACGGAGTGGTTTGCGTCCGTGCCCGCTGCGGCTGCGGGACAGCCGTTTTATTTCAACACTCACGACACCGCAGGTTTGTGCAATCACGCAGCCGCCGCGGTTGCGGAACAGCCCGCAAACTTGGCGGGAGATGATCACATATATTTTACTACACATATATTTAACAAGTTACACATATATTTTACTTAAAGGCTGCTCACAGTTTTCCTTTAATCAACAATCAAACAAAGATTTAGAATTATTAAACCTTTTTCGTTACATTTTGGTTCTACGGGCCGGATCTGAACCTGCGACCTGTGGATTATTAATCAATCAACAAGCAAGCTTTTTACCGGCTCCGGATTCCGTATGGTGAGACCCTAAGCGACCAAAAACCATGATTTACGCGGCTCTTTTAGTTGACTGTATATTGTAAAAATATAATAACAGGGAAAGACAGGTTGCTATATTCATGCATTGTCTTTGTCAAAGACTGTTATTTCTAAAAATATTATTAACGCGTAGAACAGCAGCATTACAGCTCCTTGTGAAAAAGTTTGTCCAGGGAAGTACTGTCACCAATTTCTGCCAAGCAGTAACGTGAGTTTTACTGCGTTTTGGTTTTGAAAGGTAAGAGCTTCGAAATATATTTGATCGAAGGCCCGCGTCGCTTACTACCAGGAACACGGCTTGTTCGTCCCCCACTTGGTATCACAAAAAAGCCTTGTATGAGGAAAATTGTTGAGTTTGAGACTCTGCCCTACATATCGTGACCCGAGGCCCTGAAACATAAATACTATAATCATTTATAAATGACAATAATATTCGGTAAAATGTAAATTAAGTTGGTAGAGTAGAAATTACGTCAGCGACATTTTTCGCGGAACTTTCAGTATTTCCTTCAGTTGTTTCCGTATTTTATTCGTGAAATAAATTTGGGTTACTTGCTAAGTTCGTTTTAGTAAGCTCGTTTTTAATTTACTTTTGGGAACTTTTATTGCCACCCAAAAAAATATAACTTCTTTTTACATTGATAAGTAATTTTATGTACCTAAAGGCCTTCCATAGACGGGACGAATTGTCATTGCGATCCGTTGTGTCAGAGTGATCTAAACGACAAATCGATAGTGTATGTTTATGTCGTTACCGATTAACTTGAACGCTAGGGGAGTAGCGTCGGATGCATACGATTATCGTGACGATCAATCGAAACGAAGAATCGGCAATATATCCCCTTTAAAGATTGCTTTGTTCAACCGTCAATATTACAGTTTGGGAGGCTACTTGGTGCAAACCACGGATGTGGTCTGTGGTGCAAACCTTTCTTCTGTTTTTAAAAAAAGAAAAAGGAATAATGAAATTAATTTGAATTTTGTTAGGCCGGATATACATTTGTCTGACGTGTCATGTCGTGACGCGTCAGAACGGTAGCAGTTTCATACATTTAATATGGTTAGATTTATATCAGTGTGTCGCAATCTGACGTGATGACTTGTACTGTGTGTATGAAACCGATACCGTTCTGACGCGTCACGACACGACACGTCAGACAAATGTAAATCCGGCTTTATGCAGGAATAACATCAAAATGCATTGGTCTTTTTCAACACTTTTCAGACTTATCTAGTGCACAGTTCTTTTATGGATCCAACATTAACATCTCAATAACATAAATATTTCATATTTTGCAAAACTGTGCACTTGGTTTCATAAACTATGATTCAGTTACCGCTTCGATCATTTAATAACACAATACGAAATGGTACTATTTTTTAAAAAAAGATTGTAAAAAACGATTTCTCATTTTCCATTAACTTAATTCATTTTTATTTAACCTTTTATTTGCGTTTTGCAGGTCGCATTGCGTGTTCAAGAATACCGGTACCACTCATTTGTTGTTCGGTGGGCGTTTACGGAGCCGCCACCGATGGGTATCTTCAGAATAGGTGGAATTGGTAGGCGGAATAACATTACTACCTGGCTGACTTAGAAAGACCGTTAATTCCGTATATGATCCAACAACTGATGACTTATAGAATTCGTCGGGTAACAACACTCGTTATACTTCTATGTCAGTGACAGAATTGGCCGTATAATGACCGCGCCGCCCAGAGAAATTTAAAAAAGTAAACGAATTAAACTTTGAATTAGGAAGGCGTTCTCTTTTTGTTTTTATTGATGCAGATGTTCTTTTTTTATTTTATTTTTTTTTTAAATCAACAGACAAAATAAAATAGTAGTCAGAAACAAAATTGCTATTTCTTACGAGCACACATATTGCAATTCGAAGGTTTTAAGATAATTTGTAAGACGAGATCTAAATAAGAATTACATGTTACTAAAATTCAGCGTCAATTTCGAGAAATTCTAGGGTATTCATCATCATCACCATTGTACACCCAAACCTAAAATGATATATTAGTGCGTATGAGTTTTATACAATTTGTAAGTACAATCTCTCTACTCTCCTATATACAACATTTCGCTTAACTCAAGCGCCGCTATAAACTATTTAGAATTTCTCTAAAATAAATCAATAGAGCTTCGTTATTCGTTAATTATTTCCCATAGAAGCGGGGGCGTGTCTCGGGCAGCTTCAGCTATGGCTACGTAATAAAATTAATCGCGCACAACTGGTCCTTTACTCGTTTCTGGTAGCCTGGTAGCTCCAATCTCACACTACCTACAGGGTGTATTGACAACGTGCTAAAAATAATGTTTTTGATTAAATAATAATAATAAATATTGCACACACTCATAGCCCCGCACTAGGGAAGCCCTGTATCATGGGTGCCATGGACATACAAAAAATTGCACCCAAACTCACGAGAGAAATAAATGCAGGCCATACAAATATTTCTCCCGGCCCAGGAATCGAACCTGGAAAACCAAAAGGCAAACCAGCATGGTACGGTTACGTCCGGCCACGGAGGCAGTTAAATATGAGTATGTAGAACTTATTTTCAGACATAACAAAATGTTACTATTTCATATCAAATTGCTTTATTAACTAAGTAGCTATTTTGTATTGTTTTATGTATCAAACGAAGGGACGATCAAGTCATGCGCCTGATGACACCCTCCTATAACAGTTGCAGTGCCACTCAGGGCTTTAAATCATAAAGACTAAGCGCATTTACAGACTGCATCCCATTCGTATTCGTTCCTAATCCAAGACTACACCAATCTAGAAAACCCTGACCCACTTCGAATGTCGCTTGTGCACCTAGAGATAAAAGAACACTTCGGACACCTGTATCATTTCGGACAGTCATTATAATTAGAATACGAATCGCATGAAGTGTGCAAACGCGCTTACCTTCCAAACTCGGAACGCAGTACCTAATGCACACATTAGTGTTTAGCGGACGAAATAGATATGATGACAATACGTTCTTGAACGAACTCTTCCACAAG